TTCTATACTTAGCCATTTTACAAGAGAAAACTGTCGGAGGGAGTTTTGACCCCAACAAGAACCTTCAAGCTACATCAAGAAAATCTGTTGTAACCTATCCATTTGCAGCGTTAAACATTGGATCTGCTGATTCCCCTCCCGCTATAGAGCTTGACACAGGTAAGAAATTCAGAGCCTTTGACATTAAATTTAGTTACTGCTGTGTCGCCTGAATAAACCATTTTCCATCCCGGGATTCGTTCTCCAATACTATTAAACCTTTTTGTTGCTTTCACAACGACACCAAAGGCCTCAGGACAATGAACAACAGGAAAACTGATCAAATCCTCCACACCGATTTCACCAAGAACCTTTTTCAGATATTTTAAGCATGGCAAAGAATCTGAAGAATCCCAATAACTTGTTGTGGTGCTTCTACAATCAAGAAATTCCATATCTAAATCCTCCAGCCTTTGATATGCATCGAGAATGCCTTCAAAGGGCCTCAGTCCCACCACAATCGCTGGCTCGTGAGTCACTCCTCTCAAAAGCTCACGTCTATGTGCTAGAACTCTGGCAAGGCCCGAATGGTGATCCATGTGGATGTGAGATATCCATATACATCTCAATTTTCTAACCGCCTCGTCCGCACCATCTAATCCATATCTATACCGTGGAACACATGAACAAAACAAACAACACCAACATCAGCGACCAGATTGGGAAATAACTAGGTGACAAGAGAAGCAAAAGCTAATTACCTTCTTCTAAGCTGGCCTACGGTTCCTTCCCCACAATCTAGAAGAAGACTACCTTTAGAGAATAGGTCGACATAAAGTGCATTGACGTTTCGGTATTTTGAAGGCCGGGATGAACCCGTGCCTAAAAAAACATGCAGTCTCCATGTCGTCTCGTCTAATTTTTTCAAGACAGCTTGGAAGGACAGTGTTGCTCTCGGTCAGCCACAACTGCTTGATTTCTTCGGTTTTATCTTTTAGCTCAGGAATTTCTGAGAGGAGCTCATTCACTACTTGTGAGGATGTCACTTGAGTAAGGATACAACTTCGGTCTATCCCGAGATTAGTATGAGGTCGCAAAGTGAACTGCCCACAATAAATAAATTGTTAACAGACAATGGGAATTTAACTATTTAAGATGTTAGAAAAATATTCCAATTTCTAACTTGTTTGATGATCACGAAAAGAAGGATGATACCTTGAGGAGATTTTCAGCATTAATACTTTCACCAAGATTAGAAGTGGAGGACTGTAGGAAGAGAAAAGAAACCATAAATTTGCTTAACTAATTTCGACCAACCAAAGTTATTTCAACTTGCTACAATATAATGCATGGAGAAAAGCATTTAGCAACCTTGCTCAAAACAGCTGCGGGGCAGCGATTCTTGAACTTGCTTTCAGAATTGGGAACTCCGTGGATAAATACACCAAGCCAAATATTAGCGCCAAGCAAATCCAATTAACAGTTTCTGATGGAAAGGACCAACCTTCGATGCCCAGCAAGAATGTGCTGAGCCGAACGGAATCTCTTCATCAAGGATTGGTAAGTAAGGCTAGTTGTAACAGAAGATGGGCTTAAATGTATAACACAAATTCCAAACTGGCCAGGGTATGAATAATAATAACTCTCTAAAGATGTGTAGCTGATGACAGTTGTTGGGCGTGCGACAGTCCACAAGGAGAACAACGGGACCAGGAACTGAAGGTCCAATCACATCACTCGGATTATTAACCTAAGATCAAAAGCACGAACAGCCAGTTAATATTGTATCTACCCTACTTTTAATAACGTCTTTCAAATCTTTAAGATTTATTATTCAAATTCAAAGTCTTTTAACAAAATTTACCCCTATTTCTTCTTATTGATTATCTTCTCCTCGAGGTGCTTGCTTCTTTCCCCTACTAAAATTTTGTGTCTTTGTGCGTTTTCCACGATCAATCTCAATTCATAGTCTTGTTTTAGAAATTTCCTCCATAATCTCCTGTAGTGGTTCCTGGTAACGATGAGTCAGGTGTTCAATGGATATGAACGACAATACTGTGAGCTTTCTGCAAATCTCTCTAAGAAGTGTACTTCTGCTATTTCTCTTGATTATCCCAAAATATTCTCCAACTTTCCTTACTCTACTTAGAGAATTAGCAGAACCTTTCCCTATATATTTGATGCATTACTGCTTCTTGTACAACAAGTCTCTGTCTCCTTCTTCCTTTGTAATGAAACAATATGGTGATTGTGACGAGTTTAATATAAATTAATCGGAGCTTAGTAATTTGCAGAACAAAAGAAGCAGAAGTTATCTGAAATAAAATCTGGTGTTGAGGATGCACAAGCATTGGTATGTGATTTGCGTAGCTCCAATTGAATATGGATATTTCACCATTGTTCTCTATGCGATTGATGAATCGCTCTACGTCTACCTTTTATTTATTTATTTCCAGATTAAGAAAATGGACCTCGAGGCGAGAAGCCTTCCTCCCAATGCTAAGTCAAGCAAGCCTCCTTGTCAAACTAAGAGAATACAAATCCGATCTCAGTGCCTCTATATACTTGTTCAATGCATCAATCTTGATCTTGTTATGAAGAAAGCTTTTGATCTCTCTGATTGATGCAAATGGGTTAGGCTTCAGCTGATTAAAGATCAAGATTGATGATGTCAACAGACCGTTTAGGCCGAACAACAGACAGAATCAAGGACAGTAGGAAAACAATGCTGGAGACTGAAGAGCTTGGTGTTTCAATCCTCCAGGATCTGCACGGCCAGAGACAGTCTCTCCTACGCACCCACGAGACGGTATTACTTTCTGCAAGACCCTTTGTGTTGACTGGATAGCCAGTCAAATTATAAGATCAACAAAACTTATCACTCACGCGATAATAAGATAGGTCAACTAGGGTCTTTTTTGAAGACTACAGTAGCATTCAGATTTCTTGATGTCCATTTCTTTCACTACCCCGATTCTTGTCACATTGACCAATATCTAATTCCTCTACAGCTTCATGGAGTCGATGATAATGTGGGAAAGAGCAAGAAAATTTTGACAGCAATGACGAGGAGGATGAATGGAAACAAATGGACAATCGGGGTGATCATCACAGTCCTTGTCCTCGCCATTATCTTGATCTTGTACTTCAAGCTCACCAGGTGAAACATCTTCACCTTACGGGCCAAAATTTATGTTACTGAACAAAATGCTGTGTTCTCTTGTGTCTCTTCTTCTCTCGAGGAGTGTAATTTTGACTATGCTAAGCAAGTTACTCTGGTCACAAAATTGTTAGTCTCGAATGTTAACATTGGAGAAGTTAGCATCAGCACGACCTTATCTAGAAGCGAGGGCGACATCAACAAACTTGTGGATAATTTCTTGTTCAACCTCGGAAATGGGAACAAAATCATTGGTCTGGATACAGAACGATCGGTTATTGATGCCTACTTCAGTGCCCCTTTGACAAGCAAACTAGCTGTTCTCCAGTGACGGCGAATATTGCTTAATAATCCCACTTCCTATAGACCGCGGTTATATGCTTCCCAGATTTCACCTTCGTGGGCATTGGTATACACAAGACTCTGGAAATGCTGCAGAGCGCGTGTGGCTTGACCTGCAAGAATGCCGTAGAGATCGGAAGTAACGGGAAAGCTAAGATAGGTTAAATCCCAGTCTAGAAACTCACCGAGAGTTCGAAGATAGGGTAAATCAATGTCTAGAAGTTGATCGTATAACCAGAAAGACTAACTCGAAGATCAAAGATTCAATGGTGGATTGATGATGATGATGAACAGAGATAGAGATTGAAGAAGATATTTGTTTATGTTTTTGATTAACTTTCCCAAAAGCGTCTAACGCATTACAATATAATGTGATCTCAAATACGATAACTGAACCGGACAATTGAACCAAGGAGATTAAACCGGTTAAGGGATAGATATTCCTGTAACATCGGACCTTCGTCGTGGGACCTGTTCAGCCAATTTGACCGATGAGAAACGTAATATTATCAGTCAATTTGTCACGACTGAACAACCAACAACTGCCATCTTCGAGGATTGGTACAACTTCTTAGCAAGAATCAGATCGAGCTTGCAGCTGCAAATGCGTACTTTGCTTTCAAAATTGGGATTTTGCTTATGTCTAGGTCTTGAGTCAAGACG